GACTTTTGGCCAAGGGACGAGAAATCGAGGCCGAAAGCTGGCGGATGAGCTTCGAGGGAATCAGGCACAGTGGCGGGTAGCCAGACATGCGAGACATGATGTTCTCAGGTTGTTTTTGGATAACACTGCTTTGGCATCTTTGGCCGACCAGCACAGCACCAGACAGTCTATACATCTCGCCAGATAAAGTTGTGTATTCTTGCGGCGGCGTGGAGGTACCAGGTAGCTACTTGTGGGGTAGGAACACCTAGCCTAGCCTAGCAGCTTAATGCACAGCAGCCCCAGATTGCACAGCAGAAAGGTCAATCGTTCCAGTCTTTTGCCACGCTGAGGTGCAAGAAAGCCCTCAGGCAAATGCTGAGGTGCAGCTGGCCTGCCATCGACTGTTTCCACCGTCATGGAATATTTTTTGTTGATACAGTTTTACTGGCACTTAAATACTCATGTACGGTAGCCGAGTTGGTGAATGTGTAGTGTAGCTGTACTGGTGCTCGTGAACACCCCAAAAAGTGTTTGCGACCCGAATCATCGAACATATTTCTACTTGGATAGATTTCTTGGGTTAGGGTGCACTCCGTGCACACCTCATCCATGGGCCCCAACGGCCATCGGTCGTTGTTTCTGGTTGAAGTTGGCAGGACGCCGCAATGGCCATGAGACGTGCTGGATGGCTCAGACTTCCAAACTGTTTCCATCAATCTTATTAGCGCAGGGTGCTTTCGTCTCAGGCGCGAACCAGGCTTCTAAGAAGGAATTAGGGTGCGGGGCTGACCACTGCATGCTGGTGCAGCTATTTTTTTGGTACATATCGTCCATAGATCTTTGCGTTGAATCTGGACTTCCGCAGCAATCTAGCGAAGCAACGGTGGTTCCCTCGAGATGGAAAACATTTTGACCTTCAGAGATGGTGAGAAAGCTTCCAACGTGAAGTGGCGAGAAATCGGGATGACTGGAACCGAGTCAGGAATCCAGGCACTTCGAGGTACGTACCAGGCTGAAGAGGCGGCTTCACGAGTCGACGATTTCTTACTAGTAGGTGGACACCACTAGGTATATAGCTACTGGAAAATCCTGCAAGTACCAACTACATGACATGATGGTCGTCGGCGTGGTGATCCACTCTAGCTTCCAACATCTTCCAACTGTCCCCCATTCGGAGCTGCATGGAGCGAACTCAGTTCGTTGGCCAACTGTGCTCGGGGGGGTCCCACGATGTCCCAAGGCATTAACGGCGCAGCTCAAGCAGACATTGACACAGCCTGGGTCCTTACGCGAACAGCGAACAGCCGACTGGGCGCTTCCAGGAGGAACGCAATTGAAGACCAAATCACCCTGCTGCGAGGTGATAGTGTCACACACACACACATCTCTATATATAATATATATATATATATACATATGTACGATATTTATATATTAATCATATATCAAAACATCTATTAATGCAGCACATAAACTCACAGCGATAGAGAGAAAGAAAGGAGAGAGGTACTGAATTTGTTGGTCGCGAAGTCGCAACAGAACAGCCACGGAACCGTGAGAGCGATGCAGATCGCACCCATTTGAGTGGCTTCAATGAGGAAAGACACCCATCCATCAGTGGCTTCAAAGGTTCGATGGCACCACCCTGACTAGGTGGGTGGTTTATATGGAACTCTAGTTCTATGTCGGACACATTGGGATTGGCGCCATCCGTCGCCATCTATACTCTGAAACCACTGTAGGTGTTTAGTGGCTAATTAGAACCTCCACTTGGATCCACTTATCATGTTCATGGCTGCTGAACATCTTAAGTCAAGGGGTCATCGGATTTGATTCAGCTTTCCACCTTTGGGCAGATCTCGAGGTCCTTACATTGAGCCTCCGTCAGTGCACGCGCAGTCCTTAGCTTCCTTACTGAAACTGCCGTAACTGCCCATCCTCCCCCCCAGTTTACATGTCTTTGTGAAGTTGAGGTGGGTGATGATAATTAATGTCGACGTTCTTTGTTGCTTGTCAATCTTCAAGCAAGCCAGCAAGTGAAACTGTGAAGGCACGCCGAATCTCGCAGAAATTCAAGCCACCACCCCGTGCCTCTGAGTCTTCAGGTGGCAGCGAAGCCGGCGTTCGCTTGTGTCACCTGAGCCCTTTGGGACGTGGGAGAAGGCCATCTTTGATTAATCTCAAAGGGTCAATAGTTGCCAAGAAAAGGTGGGTTTGTTACATCCAACACCATCACCACACCAAAATGAACCCAAAACAATCCAAAACACCTTGTGACATAACGATTCAATAACTTAGATGTCTCTTTGGTCAAGCCCTCTTGTGCCATTGGCGCACTACCTTTGAAGGATGATGCCCCCCCATCTTCGGAGCCTTCAGTCCGCCATCGGCGCCAACACGGCCATGGAGGCATTAATGAATCGTGAACACATGGCGCGCGCAGTGCCAAAAGGCTTCGACCCTTCGCCCCTTTTCATGGCTCGAAAAGCGACCGGGGAGTCGGTGCGATCGACGGTTCCCAGACCCAAAACCGGACCAGGAGACGGTGTATTTGGGAGTTCTTTGCCAGACACATGCCTTTGGTACCTTAAAATGCAATAATGTAGACTTGATTCATCAAACTCAAGCTCTTCGTATGAAGAGATTTTGCACTCCAAATGGGGGGGGGGACACAATGATTCATTATGGGTGTGGCATGGGCCAATGGACTTTGGACTCAATCTTTTCCCATTCGCTTGGAACAAAAGGGATCCGCCGGTTTCGTGGCTTGCAGTTTTTTCGGGTCCTTGAGCTGTGGTGCGTCGCAATGCATCCCAGATGCACTAGCCATGTTCCAAGCCAGATTGGTAGCACCGTCTTGCGGCTTCTGCAGCCAAGCATGGCAAATCTCAGACTACGCTCACCATGAGTTTCGAGAGAAACCGATACCTCCACTAGAGCCAACGCTCCACTAGAGCCATGGGGAAGACGGGCCAGAGCCGCAACAGCAGCAAAGGCACAGTCGATTGCTGGGACACAAGAGCAGGTGACGGATGCGGACGCTCCACCAATCCACCAATTCGGGTTCCACGGTGAGCGAGGCTCCAACAAGAACTAAGAGGCATTGAACAAACAGAGCAACTCATGGAAGTCACCCTGGTTTTGCTTAAGGTGTTTTGTTTTTTTCTTACCCTATGGGTAAATCCACTTCTGGAGAATAGTTTTTCTTTCCAAGGTTCCTGGCAAATTCCAAGTCACCAGAAGTCCAGAAGGATGTTCATCAACTCCCGACCCACTCGCTCATGCTCGCTCGAATTTGCCGAGCTGCACCAGGCAGCACCACCACAGGCAGTAGCAGCTCTGGCGAGACGCCTCGGAGGCGTTATGAGACCCAGACGTTCTGGGATGAGCGCCTTGGCCAGAATCGAACCGGGGCCCGCCTCACCTAGTGGTTCACCTAATTCGTCAATCAATTCCCCCTTTGTTCTACGTGTTTTTCCCCTCTCACACGACGTCTTTGCCGCGACGGTAGGTGGTACCGGAAGCAGGGCGATGCGGCCGTGGAGTGGTCCGGCCCGGTGAACGACTTGGAGCCTCGGTGTGGAAACCGGTCCGGTTTGGTCTCCCCGTGCAGGGTAGGATGATAAGGGCATTGCTACTAGGAAGAAGGGCACTACTAGTAGAAGCTACTAGTAGCTAAGAGGCTACTAGTATGACAATATGATCTGATGACATCTCGGTTGTTTGTTTTTCATGGGGGGTCACTCGGTCCTTCACTCCCTAACTCCTATAGTCATTGGAAGGTATTGGAAGTATGGAGAAATAGTCTCAGACATGTACGGACTGTGCCATGGATGCTCCGGCGTTCGCATTCCCTACAAGTAGGCCAGAGACAACTCTGGTCAAATTACCTATTGAATCATGCCACCATAATAAAGGATCCAGAAGCTCCGAGGCCTGCTCCTTTTACAAAAGACATCCATTGAAAACATCCGGGGACACTAAACCAGGAGAAAGGAAAGTACCGGATAAGCAACCAGGAGATGGCACGAAATCAAGCTCGTTCAATGTGGAGGTGATTTTTTATCTGAGGTTCAACAATGGAAAAACACAATGGAACAATCAGGGAAGGAAGGCAAATGAAGAGGAGTTCTTTTTTGGACGGGAGGAAGGCTCGGTAGGCGGGATCCCCAGAGGGAAAGTTGTGTATTTGGGGTCAAGCTCTTTTTTGCTATTGCCCACCAGTTTTTGTGAACAATGTCTCGGCTTCATGAAGGGGTTTTTACTATTTTATTAAGGATTTATGTGAATTAGCTGATGCAGGGATGTGGTAAGGAGTTGTCCGGACGCTCTTGGTGGTAGTTGGCAGTTTGGTGCAGTGTTTCTGCAGCTGGGTTTTGCTAATGTAAATGCGCGAAAAGTATAGCTGAGCTGTCTCACAGTGCTTGTGTGAGGTTTTCAACGCAATCACAGGAGTTGTGGTCTGAGAATGGACCGACAGACGAGAGCGGACACGCTGCATCACTTGCCAATTGATGTCCATGTGTGTGCAGTAGCACCAGCGAATATACAGTGATGATAATTGATGCAAGAATGAGGACTGCATGCCTGGCCCAACCTGGCCCACTATCAACTTAATATGTGATCATGTAACTTCCGCAAGCGCTACATGAATCCATCAGGGCTGCCAGTGCTTGGTGAGGTGCTGGCCAGCCTGCCGCAAACAGAGGCGCATCACAACTTTCTTCTACTGTACCTCGTAGGCCCAGCATGCCCCTGGTGAAGACTCTAAGAGTAGATTCAGTAACACAAAATGAGGAATTGGCCATCCTATGTGTGAGTAGGAGGTGTCCATTCTGCAGACATTTGTGTTCATTTCCCATGTTTGCAACTACCACAGACGAGTGGGAAACATTGCGTTTTTTTGTTGATTCCTCTAGTGCAATCCTGCCATCTAAAGTGCGAAGCTGAACTCAAGAGCATTGGCTCAAGTGAGATTGCCAGACAAATCACCGAAACTCGCCTTTGTCGGTGGGAGGATGTTGTCCAGAGAGTTCTGCGGAATTCTGATGTTGGCAGCCACTGGGCTTTGTGTCACTGGGGATATGGTCACCAGCAAGCTGATTGAGGCCTCCAAGTGGCCATATTGGTATTTGGTCGCAGGAGTGGCACGAAGATCTGATTGTTTCGAGCCCTAGGAGGCACTAGGAGGCACTAATTAATTTGGGCTTCATCGTCGAGTCTTGATGTTCATATATGTTCATATCTCGTCCTGACCCGAGACATGGATCAAGTGGCTTGAATTTGGAGCCAAATTCATGCTTCCGGCTGGGTGTTCGTGCAGGATCCTGTTTGGTGGCCTCCATTTGTAACGGCCTGGCTGTCTACTGGTTCCGTTGGGAGTTGCCGACTCGCGCTGACTTGAAGTGGGTGATCTCTCGATCATTGCTGGAGGACTTGCATTGGTATTTGGCAGTGGTGGCAGTGCTTCGGAAGATTGATGTGAGGACACAGATGGTGATAGTGGGTATCCTCAATCCATGATATCCATGAAACCCAAAGCCCTCACTAAACAAATAAGTTGGTGAGCAGTGTTTGCGTGATGAAAGATAGAATGCGAAGATGTCTCGAAATATATAGTTATTCTTCATTTTTTTGTTCTCTCATAATTTGACTCATAATTGCTGGTTTTCGGTTCAGTCTTGCATACTGTGACCCCGTGTCCCGCTTTGCCGCTGTATTTTGGCTAGGTGTTCCAGTCTACGACTGGCCTCATATTGTTAGAGCAAGCAGCTTTCTGCCCTTAACATCCCTTAACCGCACACGAGTTTCTGAAATCAGCTCCCAAAGTAGAAACAAAGTGAAAGGGATTAAAGATAGACAAAAACACCACCAAACTGTCCCTTCAGGTTCAACAGTCCCTTCATATATCCCACATCGTCTATCTTCCATTTCGTGTATCCTCCCCTTCCTCCCCACATTAAACAAATGGTGCTAAGCCTTGGACTTCCTGACCCCCCGGCCAGCCCCGGCGGGTCAGTTGACCGAGGTCATCATCGGTGCCTCGCCGGGAGACGTGGCGGCGTTGACCTCGATCGACATCATCGCGGCCGCCCTCTTTGGGCTGATCTTCCTGGGCGAGCCACTGGGATGGAGGAAAATCAGAGGGGTCAGCCGTTGGTTCCCAACATGAACAGCGATGGAACTGCGTTTTGGAGTGGGTGGAACAAGCGCGCTTGTTTTACGGAGTGCCTCCCAGGAGTGTATGGAAAAGGGAGGGGAGATGTGGAATGGGCGGAACATGGTGAAGATTGTGATGGAGTGTGAGTGAGTTCTTTTTTTGGTTGGAGGGGGGGAAAAAGACAGGGAAGCAAATGTCATGGATATGGAATGAGAAAAGGAGAAGAATGAGACGGGTATATAGATGGAGGAATGCTTGACGCCTCATGGGTGGTGACCAGAGTATTTGATGGGCTGGGCTTTTGGGCTCGGCGATCGGCAGTGTTTTACTTTGTTTTTTGTTTAAGAGTGAGGATCTAGTCTTCTTGAAAGGTCTTAAAGTGGCGAAACCGGAGGAGGTTGGGTTGTCTCCAGAGTCAGATCAGCCTGAACTGCTTGGGCTGGCACCTCAGGAAGTTGACGATTTGGCACTTCGCAGCGCTCACCCTGTCCGTAGCCGGGGCCATTTGCATCTCACAGCCAGAGGCTTGGTAGTGCTATACATCAAGCACTGGGGTGGGATGGACCCTGTTTGACCCTGTTTCCGCATGCTGCTGGCACCCCTGGGAAGGAATGGAATCGATTTGTATAAGAGAGCTGTTTCCGTGGAGGGATGCTGATCCAGAGCTTTGTGGCGAAAATCGCTGGCTAGTTCGATTATCTCTGGAGGAATCCAATGTACAGCACAGGACCTTGGAAGATGTTCTTTCAGCTTTGCGACTTTTGCAGGCTAGTCCTTAGACGATTGAAGATTTTCAAGCTTCTCCCGCGCTGAGGAATTCATTTTCGGCTTTCCAGAAGGCAAGCACCACAGCCCTGTGGGCTACATCATGGCTTTGCTCTCGGGTTGCTTCCAGGCGGGTTCCTTTGTTTGTGCACGGAAATCTGCTCATCTCTCCATTGGGGTCTTGACCTTCAGCAGCCTGCTGCTAGCAGTGCCGATGGCCTTGGTCCCCCCCGCTCCTGCCCATGGGTCGCTTGGAGAAGGAATTCCTTTCGGCTCCGACCACATGGCATGCTGATGGCAGGGGGCCACAACCGAACATACCAAGAAGAAGTTTCCAGATTCCCTAAGCCTTTGGGGCTCAGGTGAGGAACATATTGCATATGTTCGGCCCAACCAACACAGTGTGATAATGTACGTAGCTTTCCACGCATACCATCAATAGCCGAATCAAATGAGAAAACAGCGGACCATGTGCTGCGCAGCCAAGGTCATCATGCGACCTTCGAGCCTTTGGCAGAGGCAGGCCTCTGCCTGGAGACGGGGATTTTCCGTATGATGCAACCCAAAAGTCCTCCGCAGAATGGGTGTACCCGGATGGAAACAGTTGCCGTCTGAACTGCACTCCACGAATTAGGCCAACTTTTGACTCAAAAGCGGCATCATCTAGGTTTGAGAATCTTGTCAGGCCTTGCTTCATCGTCCGGTTTTCTTCCACCTCCCAGAATTTCGACTCAGCGTCTTCGTTCGCCTTCATCAACCGCCTTCATTCCACGCAGGAGCCCTGGACCGCCATGGGACTCCTGGTGCTCATCAGCCTTTGGACCATGTCTGCAGTGGCCCTCCCAGCTGCTGGCGCCACCCGATGCCCAGCGGCCGTGAGCGCCACCGTCTTCACCTCCGCCTGCATGGTGTCAGGTGGGGAGGACGGGAGGGACGGCGGCCTGGAGAAAAGCTGCCCCCCCCAGGTCATGTGCACACAGGTCATATGGCTCATTTTAATGATCATATATGGTCACATGATGAGTGCGTCATGCTGCCAGAGAAGCTGGAAGATGTGCGAAACTCTGGTGCCCATGGTAACCACCCTAGCAGCCCTAGGGCGAGGGTTAAATGCCAGCACCTTTGAGCATATGTCCGTATGAAATGCAGCAAAAGATCCAGAATGTTTTAGATGATTTCAGGGTGTGCGAAAGAGCAGTGGCCGACCACCACATGCACCTCCCTCCTCCCTGACACAGACGAGGCTACCTAGCGCAGATGATCTTTTTCAAAGAGATTCCGCAAGCACTCACGCTGATTGGTGCTGGATGTATGCTCGTGAGCGTGGTCATCATGGCCATGCCTTCTACAGAGCCTTCTACAGAAACTGAAACGGAGGAAAAGGCTGCTGCCGCCCCATCAGCGGCCTCTGTGGCAGCGACCGAGGAGGCCCAGGCCCCTTCAACAGAGGATGATGCGACTTGGACGTGCAAGCACATGCGAGAGCACATGCGATTGATTGAAACTGTTTTTCATGGGCGAAAGCCGTGCAACTGCCGGAAACCTTGTGCCGTGAAACTGCCGGAAAACCACCCTGGGAACTTTGCGACATTTGTGAGGCCCGATCTTGGAGTGACCTCTCTCAACCCCCAGCAAGCCATACTTGGTGTGAAGATCCACTCGAACCACCCCCTCCCCTGCCCAAGGAGACGATGAGCCTTGGTTCCTTCGTTGCTTCTGAAGTCTCGTTCTGCTCTTCCTCCGTCCGTCATCGCTGGAGCCGCCGACGCTTGACGCAGCCAGAAGTGCTGGCGCAGAGCATCGGGGCAGCGTGGCCGGTGGTTTCGATGAGCGCATGAGACATCATGAGACATCATGAGACATCATGAGACATGATCCCTGGTACAGTACTTGGGTTTGAGGAAATGGCGGGGAGTTTTGAACATTGAAAGGGAACGAGTTTGTGAATTCACATGTGGATTTAAGTAGATTTGCGTAGATTTGTTGATGCTGATATGCTTCTTTGGGGCCCGCCAAGCCTCATGCCAAATACTTTTGAGGCCGTCAGGACAGGAGGTGCCACAGCATCTGGGCCTGACCTGCCTGAAAAACCTGGATGATCAAATTGGTCAGAATGGATTGGAACTGTGCTATCCATCCTTTCCCCTGTACAGCGCGCGGGAATCCTTGAACCCTTCAAACCCTTGAGGCTCAAGGCTCATGGGACTTCCTCGATTGGGGGGAGCCTCTGGAAAACACGCAAAGGCAGAGAAGGGCGCCCTCAGGTTGTTCTTGTTGGACCTGTTGGACCTACTCGCCAGCAGGATCACTAGCAACCCCAAAAGGGAACATGTCGTCGTGTTTGCAGTTTGCTGGGGTGTAGGACCAATTGAAGACGCAACACGGACCAACAGAGAGCAGTTACCCTAGCACAAAACTAGGCCATAGGGCCAGGTCCTATGAAGGGCCTTTAGACCATAATTGATATGTTTTTTCTCCATGTTGACAGTACACGGTATGCAGGCCGTGCTAACATAATAGACCAGTATATACTGTGATAGGCAGATCCGGCAAAGAAGGGGATCCCCCATGGATGGAGTGGCTACAACCTGTCAACAGGTAGAGCTACAGCCTACAGCACATCCCAAGAAAGACGGCACCCCGTGTTCTTGTTGTATAACTGTTAACCTTAATTGCGGGATTCTGAGTTCCATGTAAAGCTCAGTATCCTATATTAGTGTGTTATTCTAAGGAAGCATATAATGTATCCGTCTACACATTTCTCACATAATACCGTGGTCATTGTTTCTATCGTCTTCGATGAGATGAACAAAGTGTGCAGGGGGGCATATGTTGTCCAAGTCTTAAACATAGCAACGCTCAACGCTTTTATTATCTTTTGTGTTTGGCCTCAAGATCAGGGTTCATGCTTTCCTGCAAGACCGGCCTAGGGCCTAGGGGCCTGGCATATGCATGGAAAAGTGCGAGGGGCATGAGCCAAGGATAGCATAAGCACAGATCTGTCAACCAGAGAGGTCAGATGATGAAATATCATGTGCAAAACCATGCAGAACCCTGTTAAGCAGCCTTTGAATCTACGGAGCTGACCCGTTCCAAGACCTAGCGTGCTGGTGTGAGTTTTGGTGGAATGTTCAGGCCCCGCTCAATGAAAGCAGAACCTGTGGTGCCCCTCATGCCGCAAAGACCAACACAGCAGCCCTTCCAAATGGTTAATTTACTAAGAGAGATCCTGTATAGGATGTGTTTGAAGTTTTGATGTGGAAAGGTCTCGCAAGCAAAAGCCTAATAATCCACCCTCACAGAAATCCTTTTTCTCCAAGATGCACCCGAACCAACCCATACATCCCCATTCATGCCAGGAGCCCTTGAAGGTTTGTGAATTGGGCTGTGGCTGTTCCCACCTGGCACCCATGCTGCGGGACTTTGGGGTTGGGATTGCCCAGTCGCCGTGAGTCGGCCCCATGTGGTCCCCATGTGGTCTCAGTGGCACGGTATGTACAACATTGTACAACAGGGAGGATCTACTCTTCTATCTATTTGGGGGTCTAATATGCTATAGGTTCAGTCTTTACTAAGGACCAATTATTTTTCCAATGCAGATGTTGGCAATGTGTCTTTCAATTTCAGTCTTCAATTTTAGCCTTTCAATTTAGCAATGTGTCTCTCAATCTTCTTTCCAATTTCAGTCTTTCCAAGAAAGCTGCATTGCTTGTCGAAGCCAGATGGTGTCAACCGTTCATTTGCACTCTGAAGCATCGCTTTCGCTAAGGTCAAGGTCACCGGCGTTGACTTTTCGCAAGAGGCCGCAGCTCACGGGTTAGAGCATCACAGCGAGACAGCTGAGTGTTCCAATGTATATACATATGTATGTCTTATAAGTTATATATATATATAACTAACTATTCTTCTAGTCTATATGAATATATATATGTCCATATAACTTCCCAATTCCGTCCCAGGGATGATATTCTTTCGTTCAGATGATCTCATCCGTTCAGATTCGCGTCGATTCCCGTCGATGGAGATCGAGCAAGCTTGAAGAAGGAGACGAAGTCGCCGCTGTTCCTTTCCGTGCAGGTGATCAATGCCAATCGACTCCGCCATCCGGAGATCCAGTGGGAATGTGTGGATGCCGGGAGCCCCTAGAGCTGAGCATGACTGCTATGAGCATGATGCTGCATGTGCTACTAGGGCAGGGCCTGCTAGGGAGGTGATCTTTGTGGCACACAGCATGGTGACGAAATGCCAGGTGAAGGCCAATGTTTGTTTACCTGGCATTTCTGTGCAGGTTTACAGTAGGTTGGACGCAATTTCTCCAGACACCGAGGGGTGCTTGGAGTCCATTCGCAACTGACTCCCTAAAACAACACCCTTTCGCCAAGCTAGGTGAGTTGGGGTGTTGCATGGTAAAGACGGTCAAGAGTTCAAATCCCTTGCAGTGTTTCAGTTCTTGCAGCCAAAGACTTGCCCGAGCTGCAGGCACTCAATTTGGCCAGACATTTCGAGCCAAACTATTTCGATGCCATCGTTGGGAAGACGCTGATCGATTGCTTCATGACGAGGACACCGGGGCGACTTCTTTTGCGCATCCAGCGACTGCTGTAGGAAGTAGAGCCAACGGTTCTAAGATGTTCTAAGGATTCATGGGCTGTTGTGGTTTGATGCTCATATCTTCACTTTATCAGTCTTCATCTCCGTTCTCCGTGATTGCAGAAGACTTGAAAGTAAAACTCATGTGGACACTAAATGTCCACTGGATGGGTTTTCCACATCGCCACCCACAGCTTTGATTTCTGAGGACCGATGCCGCTGGCTCGATCCGACAGCTCATGCAACAGTGCCACACGGTTCTGAAGGATCATGGTTGTGTGATGCTCTTGGACAAGGCAGCTGGGCCCAATTGCGTTTGACACTTCGGTCTCACCAACGTCCCCAGTCACGAAAAAAGCAGATCAATGACCCATCATATTTGTCTAGGATTCCAGGCAGTGGACATAAAACGACACCATTTCAGCATCCCAAAACATCCGTCCTCACCTTTTGAGCGCCTCCGCGATATCATTGCTTGTCGGGAAAGTGGAGCTTATCTCGACGTGGCCCCGTGGCCCAGGCGTGCGCCGAGAGCATCATCGGCCGGGGGAAGGCGCGGCAGATCACGGTGGAGATGCACAAGCCCGAGGGCTCAGGTTGGCGGAGGTTTCGTCGGATGAAAAGAACGAAAAGAGAGGTGCCAGGCTCTGCCAGACTCTGAGAGGGAAGGGACAAGAAACTGAGAGAGATGGAGGAAAATCAATGACAAACCAATGAACACGGCAAAAAATGGATTGGAACATATTGGAACACTCTTTCGTTTGTATTTATAAAAACATATATATATATCACTCTACTTGGGGACAATGGTGTTCATCGAGCCAGTGCGATTTTCGCAACGCAACCTGTATTTCTGGCTTGGCCGGGGCGTTCTGACCTCAGAACCAATGTCTGTGTTTTTTGTTTTTTCCGGTGATGCCGGGGGTGCTTCACCTGGTTCGACATGGCATGGAGTCCAGGAACCAACGGCCCATGTCCCCCCAGGGACCGATTGCTCAGAAAGTCACTCAAAGACTCAACGGTTTCAATGCGACATGACGCGAAGATCTTGGCGCGGTTCTTGAGGACCATGACCTTCAGAATACTCCACGTCATCCCAAGGCGCGGACAGTCCATCATTCGACTGTTACTGACATTGTGTTGAATTTTGGCGCACTGTGAGACGCATTTCTGCATTCTTTCTGGGGCTTGGGCGAGGGAGCCCAACATGGCCCAACTCAAATTCTTGGGTTTGATTGTGTCGGATTATTTGTTAGTACCGAAAGCTATTTTGATCACGAGTCGTTTCCGCACAGATGGAGACCTCATACACAAGACAGTGCGGCTGCCCATCAGTGCTATCCAGTGTTTGCACGCTCGTTTGAGTACGGAAGATCAAAGAAGTTGAGCACAATTCAGCGATGTTGTGACGAAGGTCTTGCCAACAGATGTTGGAGTTGGAATTCTCACTTTGCCGAGAATGTTTTAATGTTTGATCTTCATCCAAGCTCGCGCTGGGACACCCTATCGGCCCCATCATTACTCACTACCATTCCGATGACCACAATGCCATGTGCATCCAAGTGCTATGTGCAAGCCTAAGGTGCTCCTTGCCAGAGGCAATGGGAGCTCGAGATCGAGTGCCGCTGGCAGATTAGGACCTTGGCAGCTGATTTCGCAGCATTGCAGCTTGCATCTGAATTCGGAACAGCAAAATTGTTAGTTACTAGTAGCTTCTTGCCACTAGTAGCAAAATTCATGGTGAGCCTTCAGCTCATGCCAGGCCTAGTTTGCAAAAGCACTTTGTAGTGCGCCCAGCTGCAGCAGGCAGCGGGTCGTTTGGGGCCCAGCGCCACCCTTCGACAATTTTGTCAATTTGGTCGGGCAGCTTGTAACATTATGGATGATTATGACAGGGGCCGTTGTTTTGGCTCTTTGACAGCTTGCAGCCTGTTCGTTTCGTTTCCTTTGACTTCTCGTCGTGGCCATATCATCCAGAGCCTTCGATTCTTTGTGCTGCGGGTTCAAGAGGAAGCCTCGCCCTTTCGTTGCTCTTTTTATTGGCAAACCGTAGTCAAGATTGATGTAGTTTGGCGGTTTGGCCTACTTAGGATGCCAATTTACCATAATTTACCTGCATGACCATATTGGTTTGTGTTTCACATCCCCCACCCTAGTTTTAGGTCTTCACAGAGTTCCTTTGCAGCCCTGTGTGGTTGTGATGTCTCGCGATGCACCGGCCACCTTAAGGTTGCAGGTGTGGTCGACGGACAATGCAGGGGGCCTGGAGCATGGCCTGGGCCGTTTCGTGGGTTTCGGCGAGTTGCATCGCGTCGGCTTCGTGCATCTTCATGCCCAGGTAGATCGCCTGACCTGTGAAATAGGCAGACGATATACACAGACTCCACATGATTTGTCACTTCGAGCTATGAGAAGGGATGAGAAGGCGGTGAGCGGTCACCTTTGACTCACCAGAGGTGGCCAACATGGCGGGAGTTGAAACCGGAGACATTGTCCTAGGCGTGCGGGCGCATGTGTGCGGTGTGCTCACACCAGGGGTCACAGCCGATGTTGACAAGCATGTTCTGACTCATAGGTGACCGCAAAGGTTGCAGCCATTGGAGTTACAAACTTTGATCCTTCAAAAGTGGTGAGATCTCAGTGAGATTGAGTATCATTTGAACCGCGAGCATTGCTTGCGCCACCTGGCCATGACGATCATTATGCCATGACTATCACCACAGGCTACCGCAAAAGCGGTTGCAAGACGATGTCTGCGGGCGCCCCAAGGGCCTCGAGGAGCTCCGAGGATTGAACGGCCCAGGTCACAAGCATTGCACATGATTCGACCAAGTTCACCAAATAGGTCGGAGAAGCATCATTTGCAAGAACTATAACACAATATATATTAATATATATGTATAAACAATAAGATACTTAGGCAGTAATATAGGCAATTAATAGAGCTCCCCCATTTGGATGCGCTAAATCGGACCCTGGGGGGGGTGGAACTCGACCTCGCCAGACCGCCGACGATTCGTCGCCCCAGGTGGGCAGCGCCACTGAGACGGCCCGAGCGATCCGGACGTCCGGGGGCCGCGAGTCGCGGGGCAGGAGGACGAATGATCCAAGCTAGTAGAAACAAGTGCCTTACTAGTAGTAACAAGAAGCTAGTAGAAACAAGTGCATCGCTACTAGTAACAAGTGCCTTACTAGTAGTAACAAGAACGCTACTAGGGGCTCCTGCATGAGGCAAGAATTACATGGGAAGCTGGAATGTGACTTTAGTGCTCTTATGGCTCAGCGAGATATTGCAGTCCTGCTGGGAGAGATGCGAGTGTTATAACTATGAAGAGCTGTTTCCAAAATCGTCACATGAAAATCCTTCAGAAACCGTTGCTTCATGGTGGTGTCCAGGCCAGTGGGAGATATCACATTCTCCCCACATCTGTTTTTTCTCCATTATGTCAATATGGTGCTTCAGCATGGACACCATGTGCCCAGGTCCAACAAGAAGCTCACCCTTCTGATGGAGCGGCCAGCCGCTGGTGCGAGCCGCCGGAAGACCGTCTCGTTGAAGACGAGGTGTGCAGCGACGTTTGCAGATGGTTTGCAGCGTCCATCAGCTTCCCAGTCTGCAGCCCGATTTTTGTGGAAAGAGGAAAGAAGATAGGTCCTCCTACAAGTTGGTTTGTGAAGTGCCAGTTTTGTGGACCTCACAAGACCTTTCCATGACAGGCTGATGTCCCGGCAATCTACCTCTCAGTCAGATTCTTGGAGGGAATCCTGGCAGTTGTGAACATCAACATGCTTTGCTCATGATGATTCGCTCAATTGGGATGTCACTGGTTTGAAAGTTTCAGTCTTGCCAGTGCAAAGGGATTCTGGTGTTGGGGCGATGCTTTTGCTTCCCTTTTGCCTTCCACGAGTGCAAGTTCTGGGCATGCACAGTCTGCAACATGGGTGCAGTCTTGCAGTGACCCATCTTGTTCCCTCGACCATCACCTCCAGAGAGAGATGAGGACGTTGGCACCGGGGAAGCGCATGGCTTGTTTGCACGTGTTTTCTGCCGAAGCAGAGCCATCCAACACCAACCAGAAGAGGAGCCAGAGGAGAGTTCTGCGTGTCAGGCCCTTCTGGAGCTTTTAAGGAGAAACCACTGCCATCCATAGGAGTTCTTGCAAAGGAATGCACCACTTTCGACAATAGCACCTAGCTCATGACCAAGCACTTCTTTTGCATCGAATCTATACAGTCACTTCAAGCATTTCACGTCAACCAGGTCAACTTGATCCTGAAGCCAGCTGGAAACTGTGCACTACAAGCCAGCTGGGTTTGTCCAACAGTCATGTGATTTTACGTGTGTGCTTTGGTTAGTCTGGCAGGATGGTTCAACTAGTTTGCACACCTTCAAGCACTCGATGCACTTAGCTCCACGGCCTGTGAAGCGAAGAAATCGCCATGGCAGTGGTCAATGACCAGCCGAAGCTTTACCGTGCCTACAGCGTTCGATCAAAGATCAGAGCATGGACGTGCTTCACTGCGAGTCTCGGTGGCCATGAAAGATGTCCTTGTTTAAATAGCGATGGCCTCCAACCGAATAGCGATGGCCTCCAACCTAATAGCAATGGCCGATGGCCTCCAACCTAAAAGCGATAATGGCAATGGCCTCCAAGCTAATACCGATGGCCTCCAACCTGATAGCGATGGCCTCCAAGCTCATAGCAACGGCCTCCAACCAAATTGCGATGGCCTAATAGCAATGGCTCCAACCTACCAGCAATGGCCTCCAACCTAATAAATGATGATGCATATAGGTCCGTTGAGGCAGATTATAGACACAGCCACAGCCTTTCAACAGTACTCATTTCATGACCAATGGACTCAATGGACCATGCACTGTCATAGGATTTTGCCTAACACGTTGTTAAGCGCTGTTCTCAAGTGCTTGGGCAATGTAAAGACAAGCACTGCTTGTTCACCATAGCCTCCTAGTCTGCTAGGACCGCTTTGAAAGGTTCGGTTGTTCTGCCTAAGCAATGCCAAGGATTGCTTACCAGTCACTGACAGTCTCTTGGTGATTGTTACTGAATTGACCCGCGCGAAAACCGTTTCATGTTTTTCCCCCAACAGTTTACTGTTGGGGTTCTATCTTAGAAAAAAAAAGAACTGGCCACACTCACTGGCTGCGCCCCTGAACTCTGTGGCTGGGCTCTGTGTCCAGGCCTTGTCCTCCTCTTGTCCTTTGTGGCTGGGCTCTGTGGTTGGGCTCTGTGTCCAGGCCTTGTCCTCCTCTTGTCCTCTGTGGCTGGGCTCTGTGTCCAGGCCTTGTCCTCCTCTTGGCCGCGCCCCTGACCTGGGCTTTGTGTCCAGGCCTTGTCCTCCTCTTCTCCTTTGTCGCTGGGCTCTGTGGCTGGGCCTTGTCCTCTTCTTGTCTTCCTCTTGTCCTTGTCTTGGCCGCGCCCCTGAACTCTGTGGCGGGGCTCTGTGGCCCGGCTCTGTGTCCGGGCCTTGCCCGGCCCGGTTTACTGGAGAGGAGTGTGGCCGAACAAATAGCGATGTCAATGCCGACAAAAATTCATTGATGAAGCAGTTTGCTCTTGGGGTGAAGGTAGGGCGTACCAAGAAATCGAGTTTTGACTAATATTGGTCCATACGAATCGTTTTGAAGCTGTTTGGGGTCTATGCTTGTATAATTGTTTGTTCTTTGGCTTGGTTCTTTTGATGTGTATTTTTGCAGGCGGTCGCACTTGAGGACTGTGATGCATTTCCTGTCAATGACTGTCACTAGTTACACATAATTGTAGGATCTCTTTTTTTGTGCCCTACCTAGATGGCTTAGTATATCATAGCCATACTCATAGCCATAGTTAAGCACTGTAAACAATTGAGTGCTTGAAAGTTTGCTAGTAGCTCCGCTGCGCTTTTCAACTGAAGCACATGGTGGATGCACATGTTGCGTAGTAGCTTAATTCATATTTGAAGGGTTTGACTATACTTCCGTCATGTTGGCTGACGTACATACATACATACATACATGTTCTTTGAGACACCCTGCAGTTTAGATTCTGATGCAACATAGCACATTCTTTGGAAAGTTGTGCAGTGTGGCCTGCGAGACTAACCTGCTGCTAGTGACTTCCCGGTGTAGTTGCATTCTATGATGTTTCTTAATTTTCTCAGCAGCTGTCCATGTCCTCAAAAAGGTGTCCAACAGTCAGAGGCTTTGAGAACCATCCATCCTCCACCATGGGCCTCCCAAAATCCTCCAGACGGTGATCGTTGGCCTGACCCTGAACGATTTGGCCCAGCGGATGCACCGCAGAGATGCCCTGGAGCTGCTGGGCACCACAAGCCTCGGCCCGGGCCGCAACCGCTGAGGTGAAAGCGCTGCGTTCCCGGGCCGTGGCCAGGAGCCGCCTCCATTCGGAAGACACATGTTTTTTTGGTTCGGTCGGGCCTTTTTTCAGGTGTAGCGGGTGTAGAAGTTGGTGCCTCACAGCATCCGCAGGCATGGACGATGGCCAATTGGTGCATCTCTTGTGATATTATGGGCAGGAGTCTAGAGGTCAAAACCCTCTAATTATATCAATGCCCTGCACTTCGTGAAGGCATGGGCTCATCCGGCGGACCCGGGGTCTCTGAAGGAAAAAGATCGGAACATCCCGTCATCCGCGTCGTTGGGATCCGATCCTCGCCATTCCGTTGTCCGTTCATCCGCAATCCGCTTATTGAACTCGTTCTCCATCCTCAGGTTACATGATCTCTTCCTGGGCAGAGCCATTGGAGCTGTCTTCGGTCCTTGGGACTTCGGTGTTTGGGTGTCATATGTGGAGCTTCGGTCTATGGAAGAAAAAGGATCATTTGAAGGTCGTCGTTTTCAGAACGAATATGGAGAGAGAGTGTTCCACGGTATTTGGGCCAGAAGTTTCGACGTATGCTGCATGCTTGACAGTTGTGCAGCTTTATTTGGTTAGCGTTTTCATGCTTCTTCACAGTCACATGTTATGGTACCGGCACTCGGAGGATCGTGGCCTCCCCTCCTTTCTTTCACAACTCCAGGTGGTTGAACTCATTGAAATGTCACAGTGTGGTTTAGGAACCATTTCAGGTCTGTTATTGGACCAAGTACTCTTTGGCATGTATATCTACAGCAGAGGCAGAAGCAGAGACAGAGACAGAGAGAGTGAGTGAGTGAGTGAGTGAGTGAGTGAGTGAGAGAGAGTGAGTGAGAGTGAAAGTGATCATTAGTGAAGATGAAGTGGTTTCATCGATCAATCATGGAGGAAGTCAAGCCAAAAAAAAGGTCCTGACCTATCCGTTTTGATCAGAGCATTCTATGAGGCACCATGCTGGGAGGATGGCTTTGCGATGTTTGCCCCATCAAAGTGGCCATGAGCTGCTGTATCGGCAGCACCTTGGTCATGGAGGGTGATTGTAAAGCACAATGGTGAGGAGGAGGATCACTTCTGAATCCTCCGATAAGAGCTGAAGGCGCACCAGCTGCTGTATGTTGATGATGGCTTCCAAAGATTGAAGCCTCATGGAGTTCCAAAGTTGGGCTTTGGGCACGCCGGACACGGGATCTTTTGGGGGAAAGATGTGTGACAAAGGCTCCACTTCTTTCTATGCTTTGGATAGCAACCAATGGGAAGGTCTTCTTGGAGAAGGGTCGAGCAGCTCACGACGAGGTATGACTTCGGCGGTGGAAGAGTCGTGCAAAAGGATCTATTTCCTCGGGCTAAACATCTATCTCCACTGTGGCAACCAGACATCTCAGAGAACACGGGATGGACATCCTAGCAAAAACAGCCCTCATATCATCCACCATCAGGAAAACTCACACCCAAAGAAGTCACCAACATACATGATTCAACTACACTACACTACACTACACCACACTCACACCCAAAGTAGTCACCTGATACCATCCCTTCGTAGTGCACTGGCACACTACTCAACAAGCAGTGCCGGGCCGGACACGAGGCTCCGCGCTCTCGGTGCTCTCGGTGCCCTTCGCCGCCGCCACGGGCAACGCATGGATTTTGTGGCCCGAACGGATGGGGGGTGGTGACCTGGGTCGCCGAGCCCGTGACCGCGGATGCTTTAAACTTTAAGGGGATGAATCAAGTGACGGAGCTGATATGAAGCTACACATCATATCTAGCAGCTCGGAAAGCAGGCACCGGGCACGAAACGAACAACTGAAGAACAATCTTCAACAATCTCTGAAATGACTGGAGGTTCGGGGGGGAGGGTTATATAACGGGTGCACGTACATGAGACGTGATGCAATGGTGTAGCAGTGTAGCCCAAGTTCATGGGAGGTCCTTCACGCTGACCTTCGGTGGGGCAGAGTTGCAGAGACTGTTTCCACGGTTTGAGGAAACCGTCGCCCAAACATTATGCCATGACATAGGGCAGATGTTGCCTTTAGAGTTTTACAAAGAACTGGCTTCCCCACCATTAGCAAGACCATCAACTCCCCCCCTCCACTAAGGCTGCTATGGTGTTCTAAATCTATACATGCATGATTGTACACATCATTTATGATATTGCATTCAGACCTTCGTATATATAGCATTTAGACACACACACACATATATATATATATATACATATAGATATATCGGCATGCATATTCATCTATTTATATACACCTCAGTTGTCACTTGTGTTGGGCTGATGAATTCATCGTGTTTTGTGGGCTTCTTTTGAGAGCAGAAGTCCAGGATCCCCACGAGCATAAAACAGGTCAGCCAATTTCTTTCTGCTGGGATGCGTGGGCTCCGCCTTGGTCTCCTTCACGGTCTCCGCCGCCTGTTGGAGTTTCCCCGGGAAGGAGGCTGGATGTTTTCTTTTTTTCGTCGGGTCGCAGCATGCCGTCGTTTTGTGTTTTTTTTTTCCCCGGAGGGGAGGGACCTTTGAGGCCCGGTTCCAGATGGTCACTTTGCAGTGGATCATGCTACATTGTTATCCAGTTGCCTAGCTGTCGATGATTGAAAGGTGATGAATGCCCGCGACTAGGGCTTATGCTGAGAAATTACTTTTTAGAAGGTGGCTTGCAAGTGACACCAGTTGGCAGATCATTTGAGAATGTCAAGGTTGAAGTTCAGAGTTGCTGTATTAAGCATTCAACTGCAATCTTACACAGAATCAAACGTGTTTGATGACACATGATGGACGTGCGGAGGGCCGGAGGGCTTGATTTGCCGAGAGAAGCGGTTGAAACTAGAGAAGCATCTATGGGAGGTCGGCCCAGTGTTGGCCACCTGCAATGGAGCATTCGGAATGACCAGTGCTGCTTTGCCGCTGATTTTCAAGCTACTGATTCTTGGCATGAGTTGTATCGAGTGTTTCTTAGAAACGCAGCATATAGAATCCATACATGCATACATGGATGTGCCGAAGACAGACAGTTCTTTGTCAGGCGGCGGGCGGTTAATAATTTCCTTGGAGGACCACCAGCTCCCGCTCTGAACTATCCCGAAGAGTTACAGAGTACAGAGGATGTTTGCAACATGTCCAGTATAAGTTCAGCAACAAGTTCCTTTAGCAGCTTCTGTGAAACTCATTGAAGATGTTGGTGAAAAGTTCCACCAGGCATTGGCAAGGCAAGGCTGTGGTGGAGTACAGTTTCGTGGCTGCGTGCTCTTTGCCACCCTTGGCCTTCCTTTTAGCCAGCCAGGTGGGCTGCAATCATTAGGCCACCTCGACACTTACATACTTCAAAATGCAGGCTACTGAAAGTTGGTCGTCCTTGCAACTGGTGGAAAAAATCCAGATGATCATTGCAACCAATTTGGATCTGTTGTGTCCGCCTGAGGGAGACAGGGTGTGAGGTGATGAGCAAGCCATTGTTGAATTGAAGGCCCCACCATCTTTTCCAACGCATCGAGACCAGCATTCTTGACAGGCTGTAGGTCAAAAGATGGTCTTGACATGTCTTGACGCCTCGCAACAATGGGATATTCACCCCCCCCCAAAAAAAAGAACAGCGAACACCATGGATATTTCTTCTCGTTGCACCCACGCCGCTTCTCTTCGTTGCTTTCCAGGCACCCACGCGGCCTGTGGAGAAAAGTCTGGAGGAGATCGAGTCTGAAGGGGACCAGGACGCCGACGGACGGCGGGTCTTCGAGTCAGTGGCTGCGACTGTCGAGTCAACTCAAATGGATTCGCTTTGGATCGCCAAGATGAAAGGGTTTCTTAAGCAACGCTGCTGTTGACAACAGCGATCCTTGAGTTCGGAGGTAGATATTATTCCAGGGTTTGAGGTGTTTATTCTTTTTTGGGGGTGGGGGTGTTGGCACTAGGTGTTCGTCCATCAATCCAAAGGTGTTCGCTCTTTGATGCCAGGATGCTGCTTTGCACCGTGTCCGCATCCAGCAATGGGTGGCGGTGATCGCAGCAGCTGTGGCGCAGTTCCTCTTCTCAGGTGCCAATTCAGCGTTGCACCTCGGTTCAGTTAAGTGAGATGCACATTGACCATTTGGTCGCTGGCGCAAATTCAGCACCACTAGAAACATATCATCACATACACTCAGTAGCCTTTTCCTGAAGGGAGAGGAAAGATCCACACTGCATTTTTGGGAGAGTATGCTTCGGAGAGTTCGAGCCGAGGACATGTGGGGATCGGCACACCTAGGACCTAGGCTCTTGTTCGAGTGCATGAGGGCTTCCGAATCTTCAAAGATGGGTGGATAGTGGGAAAAATGGTCATTCACCTCTTCTATGCACAGATAGTTAGGAACAAAACTAGCCCAGGGCCAGGTGATTTGTGAGACATTCCTTTGGATGTTGATGTTGCACTCCGGTTATGTTGCCCGAGGAAATCAAACAGCTTCTCAAACCCATCCAAACCCTCAGGCTCAGCTGGATAGTTCTCTACTCGGCTGACGATGCTTGGTTGACGGTTTTGCCGTTTGCGGTTGTTGGAGGATAATGTGGCAAACACATGGCACCAGATTATTATCGTCATCATCATCCACCAAGCCCGGTCAGGGCCCGTCGGCGCCCTGACCGGCACACCGCGGCACTCCAAACAGGACCAGAACTCCACAGATCTCGATAGAACTTCAGATTTGTGAACTACTGATTGGCCTTTTCAATGCCTTGTTACTAAGTATACTGTTTGGTTGATTAATGGAGGGGGATCCCCCTTCAGGTGAACAACCAAATGGGTCCATCATGGTTTATCTGACCAAATCGACCGATCGAATATGATCGACGCCTTTAATATTAAACGGACATAATTTTGGTTGTGAGGACCTCTCACCCCCTTCAGTCCTTTGTATAGACTTGAGACATGTGAACATGTGACCATGGAAAGGACTTCGCATTGGGGACTGTGCTTGGTATGGAGGTTGTTTTTGAAGGTTTGGTGCACGAGTGGCTGAAATTCAGGAAGAATAGCTTGGTCCAACCTTGGCGAGAACCCTTTTGTCGCGTGATCATTCCGCATGCCCAGCACCCTGTCCTTTCTTCCTTGGAATGGAAGAACATGCCTTTCACCCACCAGAACCCTTCCGGAACATGAAGAAAAACCAACACCCAAAAAGCCGAAGCCAACTCAGGAGCTGGAGGATCGATCCGTGGCGCCCTTCTTGGTGAGCCTTTTGCAAAGTTCTTTGATGTTGGGCTCCTTTGGCGCCTCGAGATATCAGCCACTCGGACCGCGTGACGTGTTTCCGGGTCGATGTCCGGCGTGGGAACGCGTCGGCTTCTCGTGGACCCACCAGGTGGGAGAAGTCCAAGGTCCAAGAACAACATGGAGCTTTCATGGGCCAACCATACATAATGTAGATGTTGAGGTTTTTTTGCAGTTGAATTGCTCTTTCATTCCGTATCGGCATTGTTGTTGGGTCATTGATGCCGTTTCCATTGCTTGAAGTTCACAAAAACCACAGCGTCCATCGTCCATCGCTTTGAGGCGATACTTTGCCTTGTGGAACTTGGTGCTTTGGCAAGTCCCGCTGTGGATCAGGGTGGAACGCTGCGTTCGGGGAAGGCCACCTCTTTTTAACTCTTTGACCTAAACATACCTAAACACAATGTACCAGTCAATGTACCCTCATTTACTGAGATTTGTTTGTTTGCTGCAGGACTATAGGGGTATAGGGTGCCCAGAATGCAGGAAGTGATACTAGCTAGTTACTAGCAGCCACTGGCAGGTTCCTGCAGCAATGTTTTCCAACTGTCTTCATCGTGATTTCCGGTTTCCGAATCACGCGTCAGAATCCTTGTCCTTGTCGTATCTAAGGCCCGGTTTCAAGTCTTCGCAGTGCTCTCAGGGCTCTTGCTTTGGCTCCCCTTCACCAAATCCATCTTCGCCACCGTCTGTGCGCTGGCATGGTATGGCTTAGCAGGTGAGGACCCCCACGCTGTCATTCGCTAATATTATAGCTGCAGCAAGAGCGATCCAGTTGAAGCATGGTGATGCTTTATGTTGCCTTGCTTCATGTGCTGATCAATCTCGGTCTAGCCAGTGTCTTGGAGATGATTCGAGCAGCTTCAGCGGCTAAAGCTTTTAAAGATGTGATGCTCCAGAGCTGATGAGATTCTGATGATCACCTTTGCAGCAGGTGGACCTTTAGTCACTTATTGCAGCACCTTGCTGAATCAACATTGCAGCCCGAGTGGGTTGCAACTCGCAGCGGCCTGGCATGGACAGTCCATGCATCAGGGATATTCGGATATTGAGGGATGAGTCTTGATGTGAAAGCGAATCAACAAGGGCACCACTGACGATGGTGTGTTGTTTCCCTCGAAGGGCCCAGGAGATTGGGGGAGCCAGCCCGAGACTAGGCTTCCTTCGAAGGGGAACATTGGACAACATTGATCACTCGAATCTACTCTACCTTTTCTTGCGGGTCCCTGAGGTTATCAATGTTGGTGGCAACTTCGGCGCCAGCGCAGGAGCGATCATTGAAAGTCAGAGATAGGTTGTCTTCATTTGTAAAGCATATAGTTATCACTATTTTAGAACAAGGCCTTGACTAACCATCCTCAGCCACTGTTAGTGGTAGTGGAATATACTAATATAAGTACTAATATAGTTTGATATACCCAATGCATTTGTTTATATACAAATATGTTGATCTCTCTGTTGCATGTCGGACATAGCCCATAGCCAAGTGGTCGGTCCCATCGCAGCAGGCCTGGGAAGACATTTTCTTAGATTTTAAGGGCTGGGAAGGGTCGGAGATCGAAACAACCTTGGAGAGTGAGCCTCCAGTTTGTCCTGCCTGACTGCCAGGACCTTTCATCGTTGGCATCTTGATGATCAAGTCTGGGTTCCATGGCTAGATAGGCTCACGAAAAATCGAAACAAGAAAGACTTTCCATTGAGGATGAGCCAAGGCTTTCGACCAAGGCTTTCTCGGGTGACATTCTGTGACAGGCCACGCCCTGCCCCCCTGGACCTTTCCCGTTTGCGCCGGTCACCCATCCACCTGATGTTCTCAAGGCCAAGTGCCTTGCCCTTGACAGTGTCCTACGCCTTCTTGGCCGCCTTGCTGGGTTTCGGCGTCGCCTCCATCGAGCGACGCTGGGCCGAGAGCGGAGAGCTCATGGGGCCGGCCGTGGGGTGGGTGGATGGTAGGTGCGGCACCTGGCAATGAGGGTAAGTCGTCACCAGTTGCGCGCCAAAGGCGCCAAAGGCGCCAGGGCGCTTTTCATGGCACAAGCAGCTTTTCCATGCGCCATATGATATGTCTAAAATGGTGGTATAAGGACGTCATGCTTGGTCTAAAGGCCAGATGCCTCCTCCGAGTCCCCAATGTGGAGAGCCACAGCTGGTTTGGAGTTTGGATAGACGGCGACCTTTGAACCAATTAAGGTTGAGAAATGTTGAGAAGAAGACTGCAGGAATGTTTATATACTAATAACAATTGACTAGTAACAAGTGCATCGCCACTGGTAGCAAAGTGCATCGCCACTAGTGGTAAAGTGCATCGCCACTAGTAGCAATTTGCATCGCCACTGGTACCAAAGTGCATCGCCACTAGTGGTAACGTGCATCGCCACTAGTAGCAAAGTGCATCGCCACTAGTAACTAGTAGCAAAGTGCACCGCTACTAGTAGCAAAGTGCATCGCTACTAGTAGCAAAGTGCACCGCAACTAGCAGCAAAGTGCATCGTTACTAGTAGTCAGGATCTGCATGCCCACTCATGGCCCACGTTTGACGCTGAGGCCGGCCTAAGGGTGAACCTTTGCTGGGCGCGGGCGGGCAATGAGTCCTGATGGTGAAGCTCCAAGTTTCAAGTGCGTGGATTCAGTTTGGGCTTAGCTCATTTCGCGCCCTTAGTGAAGTTAGGTGTTGGTGAAGAGCTGCTTTAGAATGTTTTGGGTGCATTTTTGTTTCGAAAGGAGCTAGCCACTTCACATTGACAAAGCCCTGACTGCGTCTCCGATGAGTCTCCCCTTTTGGCAATAGCCTGTGGGACGTCCGCGGCAGCGTCCAACGCTCGCGCTGCCGGTGGCGCTCCGTGCGTCGCGGTGAAGCATTGCTTCAGATGGGTTCTTCGAAGCCCATTTGCTGATGGGTCAGATGTCAGGCGCTGCAAAGGTGCTTCGCAATGGGTCACAATGGGGGGGGTAATTAGCACCAAATGGATCAACGTGGGGCATGTTGAGTCGCTGAGCCTCGCATTCCGACGAGAAGAACAAGCCCAGCTTGTGCAAAACACCAGAAGGCTTGAGCAGCATCAGATTACATAGTGGCACACCAGAAGGCAGGAGGCTTGTGTTAATGCCGCTGTTTATGCCCCACCTACGCAGAGCCTGACATCAGACATCCCACCCCACTTGGACTGTCCGTGGGCCCACAGCGGATAGAAAAAGGCGAACGGCTGGATCGTTTTGGCGGGGCAGCATGGCACTGGATGCAGTTGTCAAGATGCCTAAGCAGAGTGTGATTTGTACTCTTCAGGGTGAATGAGTGCAGGACATGTTAGGCGGGTTGCCGCTTTTGTTAGGCGGGTTGCCGCTTTTGTTCTTCTTTTGCGACTCTATACGACTCATTCCAAAAGAACATCCACCCCTAGCCCTTCCGTCAGAGTTGCTTGGTCCCCATCATCAGAAGGCTTGACAAAAAGGCGCTGTATGTAGTATGACCTAAGATCACACTTGCATCCTTCTCGGGACATAGACTTTCAGTGGCTTGCGACGGGTGCTGCCTAGCAAGGTCAGACCACCTCCGCCGGTTGCAGAAGGCCCGCATGTTACGCGCGGGCGATACGTGCGGGAGCCTAGCGCCGCAGTGCCGAGACGGTCGAACGATCAAGCAAGAACTCAACATCTTGCATGCGATGAGTTTCATAGGTGGGGTGCTGCAGAAAGGAACGCGCGATGCATTATGTGTTCTATCATGCTAGGAGTAAGGAGGCGCATTCCTTGAAGCGATCGTAATCACATAATCAGAGCATAATTCGATACGATGAACGCATTTTGGACGTGCAAATTGTTGGCATAAATTGTTTGCACATGTTTACTTACAAGCAGCACCCAAGCTGTGAGCTGCCTTGGAAATCAGAAGAGGACCTTTGCGAATGATATGGGACCTTCTACCGAGAAAGGATCTCCTATCAGATTCGATGTTTGCAAGATTTGAGTCGAACCATGTCCTTCCCTTCCAAGCCCAAATGGACATGCCCAGTCGCAGGGCTTAAAAGACCTTCCAAATCATTCGATTCCATGCCATGCGCATTGATGACGATGACAACACCGCATAGAAATGTCATTCACTGCGGGTCCAGCAGTGTATCGTCCTTCCTCAGCGTGTCCCTGTGGGACGGCTGACGCTGCCGAGAGAGAGAGAGAGAGAATGACAAGTAGAATGACATCAAAAGAGCCGAGCAAAAAAAAAATAGAATGACATTTCTTGCCCTGCGATGATGATTGCTTCTGTTTGTAGCCAAGTCGGTGTAGGCAAAGAGACCAAACAAGAAAAAACACAACAATTGAAAAGGGTGATGCATAGGGAGCCCGAAAAGAGAGGAAAAGGGAGAGAGAGAGAGATGCAAAATGACGGTGAAAGCGGGAGGGTTCACGCAATTGGCCGCTCAGTGGCTCAGTGGCCACACCTGTTGAACTCTGCATGCATCAACGCCAAGCGGTTGATGATGCTTGATGATGCTTGGCATGTTCGAGGGATGCTTGTATATACAGTACAGCTGAGACGCTGTGGACTCTGTGGACTTTCCTTTTGTTGGAGGCAAGCACTGGATGGCAAAATCTCCACGCCTGCAAACCCCAGTCAAGGAGGTTGTCGCTGAACTTGAGCGTTAGACATCGACCGCCGGTGCAGCGTTAGACATCAATCAGGTCTCATCCAATCACCAGAAATAGATCCTTTGAGCACAGAACCCCATCGGATCAGCCGCTTTATCACGTAGGTCCTGTGAAAAACAGCAAGAGCACACATCACCCATGAAACAAGAAACACATGTAGGACATGTAGTAATTAGTCATGACTGGTTAGCAATTGCCGACACCCCAAGGGAGAGAAGGGATCAATTTCAAGCCACTTGGAGATCGGCTTCAGCTGCGGAACGTGCTGCCATGGCCACACGTTCCCGCACGGCGCGCTACCGATGTGGTTGGCCCGCGCTCGACGATTGAGCAACAGCTGGCCCTTGAAGCTTGGTGTGTTTGGGACCTGGGGATTGATACTGTGTATATAGTCCTGTGCCGTGTGTATATATATATATACATGTATATGCACCTTCACCAACCAGACCCGAGAAATTTGCAGGGTTGGCGTTGTCCAAACCACGGTTTACCTGTGTGATTTTGCAGGTTGAAGAAGACAAATTACCACCGAGAGCAAAGCCTTTCAGGGGATGAGATGAATGAGAGTATGAATGAGATCAGTCGGAAGGTGCATTGCTTGGTGTTTGGAGCCAGAGCTAGACTGCAGGGAACGGGCTAGTGGATATTATAAGGCGATTGTGCACATCAGACATGGGAACTGTGTCCAAAAGTGTGAAGTAATACACGTTCACAGGCCATAGCCAATAACAGAAGTAAGACTCGACTCTATTACCTCTTCACTTTCTTGTAGTCAGTAGCCATCATATTCCATAGATATATTTGATATAAAATGCATTCGCAGTGAACGAAGTCAACATATCATGTCCCAAGTCAACACCCTGGAATCAGGAGCGAATGAGGCACCATCCTGCGATGGGATGAGTCCATGCTGGAGCCTTGCTCACTGCGTAGTCCTTTTAGGCCTGGTATGCCAAGGAAAGGTCGGAGTAGAAAGGACGGATGTTATGGTTTCTGGTGACTGTAACTGCGTTGTCGCTTCACTTGGCGCAGCTGCTCCTGTGGCAACATGTGTGTGTGTATTGAAATAGGGAGCCCCTTACTTCGCCGTTCTCGCCACAACAGAGGGAAGTGGAGGGCCGATCCTGCAGTTTTTTTCTACACTTGTTTTTGTTTGGCTTTAGAAGCTTGATCAGAATAATTCTGATCAGACTCAGAGGAGGCCAATACCCGACCCCCGCAACTCATCAACTTACAGTGTATCAGGCACCGTGGGCAGAAGCAGCTTGGTCGCGGGGCCCATAGAGGCCAGCAGACGCTGTCTGATGCTTTTGCGCTGCAGCCACGCTAGCAGAAGTCTACTCTGTTTCAGCATGGATTTCTTGGAAGCTCATATCAAATACGGTCCTCCAAAAGGATGAAACTGATGAATGAGAGAAGATGAGCTGCAGTCACTAAGCACGAGTTTGGGGCCTAGTCTTGGGACAACCGAATTTATGGGTGTGATGTATGGATTCAACCGTCCACCGTGCACCTCGTTCGACTGGGCGTCAGGGCGGCAACCGTCCACAGAGACCTCGTCGACTGGCACTGGCAGCTCCGGTGCTGGAGCGGGTCTCGGTGGTCCTGAGCGTGGGAGCCTGGAGAGATGTGGAGATTGGGCTGAAGAGCTGAAGTTTTTCGTCGACATGCATCGAATATCAATGAAGAAAACAGGTGCTTTGGGAAGGAAACAGTGAAACGAAGTGATAGCTCACGGACTTGCTGAATGAGAGACAGAGAGAAACAACATCAATTTGGATTTGTTTGCATTGTTTCATCCAACGTGTTTGTTTTTTGTATATGACTGCTTGACATGTTCGTGTTCATTCACTTTGGTCTCAGGCACTGGGGCCACTGCAGAGCTCTCCTGGAGATATACCCAGCTCATGTACCTGGGGCCTCATGTTTGGTTGTAGCACATGATTTATGTGACCATCATCAACCATCCAATTGTTCATTGCTGAGATCTCAAAGATGCAATGATTGGTGGAACAAGGACTTTGTTCTAGCTACTAGTGGCGGTTGTGATTTGCAGCTAAGTACAGTTAGCCTCCGGAGTCCTCAGTCATGTCCTTAAACTGCACATGTCCTTGGGCTGTGGCTCAGGTACTCCTTGACCATCCCCCAGGAGGCGATTGCCGCTGCACTGCTAGTAGTTCTCCGCAGCGGCTACACTGCAGCTCGAGCTAAGAAGGAAACCAACTCCCCAAGGCTGTTAGGTGGAAGTGGTGGGCAGCTCCAGTGTTGCAGCCCGTCGCTGCATAGCTGCTAGCTTCCACTTATATGTTTGATCCAGGAACGTTACCTTTCCAATTTCCGGAAAACCTGTTTCTTGGATATGCCGTTCATGACAGAGAGCCACCGCTGTCCGCTGTCCGACCCTATTTCGGCCTCTAAGGCCACGATGAGGCTCTTGAGGCCGGAGGACAACTTCGCTGAGACATTGCGCTCGGGTGTGACCTCGGCCTTTGCCGATGTGCCCACGGAAGAGGCCATGTGCGGAAGGGGTGTATCAGGGAGTTGTGCCAGGGTTTAGGTTTAGGGTTGCCGTGGGGTTGGTGCGAAGTGGGGTGTGTCATGTTTTCGCATAGCGGATTGATCTTGGTATAGAAAGTTGAGTTGATGGCCACACTTGTTAATAATTGATACTTTCTATTTCATTGATACATCACTTTCTTATGTTCACTTCTCCTGCCTTTGCTTTTTTTTTGCCAAATCGGGGGAAAGTGACCCTTGTAGCAAAGTGCTCCCGTGAACCAGCTCTCGGCGGCAGTTTCTCAACCTCAGGTCTTCAGCCCCACAGAAGATGTCGCTCCTTTACTACCTTTACATCCCTACACCAACCCTCGCAGAGCCCAGCCACCTAGCGCTAGGCTGCAGAGCTGGTGCTGGAGGTAAGCCATCAATCTCGGGCAACCAATTACACGTGGCTTGGGCGACACCATTGGGTGGGCTTAGGCAATCATGTGAATGTTTGTGAGCTAGACTGGGTGTTACTGATACAGTATTATTGTTGGATTTGTGGCTTCTTGGAGTTAGGCAAGCAGTGGAAGCACCCTCGTCACTAGGGTATGATTCGTTGAAGTGTTTGTCAGTGAAGGCCCGTGATGTTTTCTTTTGAAGGTGTGCTTCGTCAACAAAGGTTGAGAGACAAAGCAGCTGTTTGTGTTACATAGATGAACTTTTGCATGGCAGTGTCATGTGAATTCTCGTAGCTCGAGTGGAGGATGAGTCCCTGAAAACCATCCCAAACAGGCGTGGTGATGCTGTGGCGGTCCAACCTCACTGTAATAAGTTTTCCTTGGACACAGGGAACAAGTGGTTTGTTGGCGACAGACGGGCATGGGCGACATTTCTGGTCAAATTGAATGCCCCACAGGTGTGGAGTATAGTTTCGTAGTTTCTTTTTTTTCATGTTTTATGTTTTTAAAGGCAAGCTCAGTCCAGATGTTTAAACATTTGAACAGTATATGGTTTTGGTATGTATAGGTTCTCTACCGCCTGATTTTTGGTGCCACAGGGGTGGCCATGTGCTTTCTTTCTGCCCAGTGAGTCTGTTCCTAGTTCCGCCCAGGATTTTGGTCCTGCGATCCACGATCACATCCAACTTCAAGTTTCGGCTTCTAAAGCTGCACAAGATGTGGAATAGAAATCAAGAGATTCGTTTGGCAGCCCTGCTGTCTCGTTCGCGCGCCATTGGTTCGCAAAAGGCAGACCTCCTTGGAACGTCCCCTTGTTCCAAATGTATCCAAATGTACTATAGCCCTAGCAGGTTGTAATGGATCAATATGATGAGATGAGGTAGATCATGGTAGAGACTTGGACCCTGTATAACCCTTTACAACAAGTTCTAGCAGTAGTTCTATTGGAACTCAGAGACACACACGTTTCCTTCTCCGCGCTGCTCGCGCTCGCGCGGCCACCAAGGCTCTCCGACCCTGCGGCCTCCGCGTCTCCGCTGGCCACCTTGACGGGCCTCTCCGTGCTGGATGGCCAGGGACCGTTGCCAATGCGGCCCATGTACTTCGCAGCTGGGGCGTAGTACTGAAGAAAGCCTAGCCGCCTTTGATTCGGCCGGTGGAAGAGGGTTGAAGCAGAAAACAGCACACGACGTGGTTTTTGTTTTCTTGAACACTTCAGTAGTGACCGCCGCCTCGTTGTTCTCAGTGATGAGTAGCTTAGATTTGAGTCGATAGGAGGACCAACACCTGGGAGCTTTGACCCCTGGTCGCAAGCGTCAAGGACCCGCAGAGGAGCCAATATTTGGCCTTCGCCCAGCTGAACACTGGAGGACCGGGACCAGTCGACCAGAGCGTGTCGACCGAGGGGTCCGGGGTGCAAAAGCGACGCTGCAAATCTGGCAGGGAGGGATCAGCACCAAGGCCAGCTGAAATGGCTAGGAACGCGTGGGATGGTAGCTGATAGAACAACATGTCGTAAGTCCTGCACCAAGTCTGGACTTCAGGTTTATAAAGGGTCATGACAGAAAGCAATGATCATGGCAGATCCTTGCAACCGGTCCTTCGACCCGTCACCAGGACGTTCGCGCTCCGTGCGTTTGGTCGCCTCCAAGAACGACCCGAATGCCACACTGCGCTTACGTGTGGATGGGACCCAGTTTGGAGCCCCAAGTGTTGGACAGGCACTTGGGGAGATATGGGGAGCATGTGGGAGCATAGATTGGCAACGTGTTTGGTTTAGACGTTGAGACCTTCCAGACCAATGGCCAAGAAGACCAATCAGAGGCTAATGTACAAGGGCAAGCTGGAAGCGCTCTTGTAACAAGCTCGCGTTGGGGTGTCAAAAGCAGGACCTGGACGCGGATCTCTTCGATTAAATACTAAGTTTCCAAGGCCACATGCAGACCGATGACCGTTGTTCAAATGTTAGGTTAAATAATGTTGAAAATTGCCTTTGGAGCATCTTTGAAGAACTGAATGGCCTTTGCAACCAAGTTTAAGATCACAGAGATCTTGCACTTATATATTTCCATTTTGCTCTAAGGTTTAGCCCTGAAGTCTTCCAGCATGGCCTCAAAGAACTTATTATATATACTATTATATATATAGAGTCGATAGGGCCCGATAGGGGTCAGATGTTCATTAGCTTTGATCCATGCCACTCTGGATGCACCTCAAATCTCGGGTAGTCACCGAGGTGGGAGCCGCTTGAGTCGGGAATACGCACGAGGTGGCTGAGCCGGATGGGAACAGTTCTGAGTGAGGAAGAAGAAGAAGAAGAAGCAGAATCAAGAAGAAGTGTAGATGTTGAATGGACACAATTGCTACTCTTGCGATGCCGTTTGTTTCAGGAGTGTTTTTGCAAACGCTCTACTCTACTCTGATTACACCATCATCCAGCAGTGTCATTTGCATCAAAGGTGAGAGGCTGAGAGGTTGGAATTGGTCTTTACTTGTCTTCACTGAGGCTTTGACACTCATTCTTTGAGCTGAAGAGATACCAAGACTGGAATTGCGCTCAGGTACATCGAAGTTCCACGCCATGCCTGGCTTCAAGTGGAGATCGAAGTGGCATCTCCAACAACCGCAGTTTTGGCCTGGGAACCCGGTGAGAGTGGTGAGTCCAGCGGAGTTGGACTAGTGACTACTTGTAGGTGTAGAAGTCCTTGAAGAAGCGGAAAAAGAAGCATTCCAAAGCTCTTCATCGTGTTTCGATGTCCAATACGCGATGTGGTGCATGAATGCCATGTCGCGCAGGGCTTAGGCTTCTGCAGGGGCTCACACCCTTTCCCTTCGCGCTTCCGAACATCGTGCTTCGGGTGGAGCTGCCACGCCACTGGCGCTCGGTTGGCGAGTGCAAGTCCCGGTCAGTTTGCTCAGAAAAAAGTCTGAGACATGGTTCATTTTATGTCTGAATTTTCTCGGGATTAGGAGTTTGGCTTGGGGGAGAAGTCAGTGGCTGGCTGGTTTTTGACCTGGAAACCTTCCTCAGTCGTTGGTATTTTTTCAAAAGGCCCCTCCAAACCTCAAACTCTTCGGTTCAGCACTCTTTGATACGCTTTGCCGACCAGCCAAGGGGGGGTTTTCGCTCGCGTGTTCACGCACGAAACCGACCGGCAGGTCTATGAGATCTTGATCACCCGCGAGTTGCTTTGCCACGTGATGTGTCGCACCTGCTACGGGCCCAAGGACACGCAGTGCTTGTCCTGCAGGGCACCGTTGCTTTTGAACAACGGAAGCTGTTCGCAAACCGTGTCTTGGCACCTGTGCCAGTGTGGCGTGGTAAGAGGGTTGAGTGTGTGTATGTGTGTGGACCGGTTGGTGAAGAGAGATAATTTAACTATATGTGTATATATAACATATATATATATTACATTATTATATGGATATATATATATAACGTTTTAAACTATATATTAGGCCATCATCAATCCCTCATATCCTTTCACCATTTGTGAGAGGTGGAATCAGAATAAATCAGATCTTGTTGGGATCACTCACACGTTCTTTGGTTTGGCTCTCTTTCAAGCTCAAGGCCGGGGCTCGCATGAGCCCATGTCTCAAGGCTTGTGGATGAACTTCGGAAGGCATACTCCGTCTGAGAACGCCAGGCCCTCTAGAGGCCTCTTCTAAGTTTACGTCATGTTGACGGAGAGACCCGTGTGATCAGTGACATGCGGCCCCATGGGCATGACTCCCCTAGCACCACCCAGCCCAGAGATGGCTCACAACATACCACGCGTGGGCGTCGACGACGGGCCGAGGCATGTCCGCCAGGCAAGTACTACGACTGGAGACTCGGGATTGGAGACGTGCAGATGAGCTGGAACCGGCCCTACCCAGTCAGTGGGTAACCTTCAACCTTTTGGGGGGGATTGGCTTCTCCACTAAACAAGAACATGCGTCCTGAGTGTCGATAGTGTTGCCATCAATTGCTATGGCATGAACGATAGAACAGGTGGAACAGATCAACGTTTTTTTCAGGGAAACTGAGGGAGTTAGGAAGTGACAGGCCCATTGACATGAGGAAGCTCCCAAGCACCATCAACCAGCCAAGGTCGAATGCTACATAGGTCTGTTTGACGCAGATGGTCCACTCCTCAAGTCAAAGTTAGTGTCAAAGTTAGGAGGTGCTACAGTATATTTACTGAATTATGTACTTTCACAGTCAAAGTTTATACTCACAGGTTCTGATAGAGTTTGCATGGCCTCTCTGTGTGCTCAGGACAACCTATCAATGCCAGCCTTGCCATGAGACCTGTGCACAGTGTGAAGGTGGAGTCGAGAAAAAAGAGGGCGAGATGCGTCAGTTTGCTGATGGCAGGGTAGTTGTTCTGCTTGCATAGAATCGCTGGGAGACCTTCATGCCTAGCTCCACAACGTAGTGCTCACGGTAAGGTTCTGATCGTAGATGCCCCATGACGCTTGTTGGAGAGGCCCAGCATCATCGGCCTGCACCCAGTGCCCTGCCCTTTATTTGCTCTCACCGCCGGTGGGACAGGAGGAGAGGAGTTTTCTTCAGTGCTTCACAAAGACATTGAATCATTGGAGTGATGGATCCAAGTGCTTACCCATGCTGATTCTCCCACAGGATGCCCGCATGGCGCCCTGCGTGCTGCGCTGCTCCACTGGCCGCTTTGCACACCCCAAGAGCCGCCGCTGCCGAAAACCGCCCACAGCACCGGTTGCTGGCCTCGGGAATTTTGGAACCCGGGTCCGTCTTGGGAGATTGGGTGAGCATCGGAACCCGGGTGATCGCGGGTGTAGCAAGGACCCTATATAGGCCTGAGGCCGCATGCTGCCATCGCGCATGGAGCTATCAAGAGAACCAGGAGTACATAACATGTTCAGGTGGATGGAGTGCGATCGTCATACAGATGCGTTGAGTTGGTTTCCACATGCAGCTGGAGGCCCGTTCTTTGCATGTTGAGTGAACATTTTTGGTGACATGCAGTGAGCACTTCCGATGGGGCGGCAAGGCCAATGCCTGTAAGCAAAGAGCTGGTGGGCGACCCCCCTGTGCAAGAAGTCCTAGGAAAAGCTTGGGGTCCTACCTATATACATATTTAGAGAGAGAGAGGGAGAGGGACAGAGAGACGTCCAACTTAATTTTACTCCGTTTTTGCACCAAAAAGCCCTTTGCAAATCCAACTTACAGCCTTCATCAGGAGCCAACTGCATAGGTTGTGCAAACTCTTAGGAAGCTTCAAAGAACAATTTTTGACATCAGGTGAAGAGCTTTTACCTCCAGTTCAAGTTCCGGAGCACATTTGAGGCACTTGTTGCACAAACAAGCTGAAGGGCATCAATGCATGGGGGGTGCCTTGGGAAATTATTCCAGGCATACCCTTACGTATTGGAATATTTTTGCTGGAATATTTTTTCTGGAATATTTTTCCATGCAGGTATGCCATACCCCACCGTGGAGCTTGTCGTGGAATAATTGTTTAAGGTATAAATAGGTTAAAGCGCTGTCCAAACTGAGCGATCATCTCAGAGGGATCCAGAGGGGTCCATATCAAATAGAGGTAAATTAATAAGTCGAATCAAAACAGTCGATATCAATCGATGTCGTCTTTTTGAATGCAGAAAGAAACTCTTGGACACAATAAGCTTTTGGATATGAGCTTGGGATGTTTGATTTTTGATTCAAATACATATATTGAAATGGATCCAACAGATTTTGGCAGTACATTAGGTGAAGAGACTGGGGATTGGTCAGTTTACAAAATATATTCCATATGTAATCTAGAGGTCACATACTGCTGGAATATTTTGAGAGAGACTTGGATGTGTGTCAAGTTGTTTCTGTTCAAGATTGCACGCTGCTTCAAAGCTTTCCAAGAGTGATGTCGTGACACCTTGGACTATTTACCTAAACCTATAGGATTATTATGTTAAGATGCCAGAAATTATTCTAGGAGGTTCCCACCCTGTGGAATAATTATCCAAATCGATGTTCAACCCTCCAGGAATAATAGATAAATATTCCTGGAGGTATCGACGGTCTGAGGTATCTAAGGGACCCCCCATATCAATGCATGCAGTCATGATTTCATTTGACAACCCACCCGATTCAATTCAACATGATTCAGTTCTTTTTCTGAAATATGATGGTATCAAGTTGCGGCGATCCACATCAAGCTCTATACCGTGATGGTTGCTCTTGGCAGGGGTGCGAAGCTGTTGTTCTATGGGCCTACCTTTGAATCGTTGCAGATGGACTCAGATGGACTCTTCTTTTCGATCGTGCGATCGTGCGATCGTGTTCTTGGCAGATCTCGTAGGCCTTTGCCGGAGACGCCCTGATCCAAGCTCCTTGGATCAAGGATTTTGCATGACGATGGAGCTTGCAGACTTCAGCTGCGCCACGCTTCGTTGAGCCTCAACCGATGCGACCAGGCCCATGTTGGTCCGGTGCCTCCACCGGCGTTTGCCCCTTGCGGGTCCACCATATCCAACCCATGGACTAGTTCACTATGGAACCCCAGCATATAATATATATATATATTATATACCTATTTATTTATCCATACCTAGGATTTTGAGGTATATGTATGCTTCTCCAGGAAACACGCCCCCATCCAGTTGGAGTTTTGTGGCCCATGATGTCCTTGAGGAATCTGTGGTCAACACCACGGCCTTCGTCTTGGGACTCAGTTTGTCTGACGTCCGCGCCTACCGGCTGGAGCCTTTAAAGGCGTGAGAGCGGTTCATAAGAGGGCTGCGGTTCCTTTTTTTTCCGCCAAGGAGTTGCTGGAAAGGCATTTGGAAAGATTGTTGATGCTGTTAAGGACTCACATTCATCAGACAGGTGGTCTAAAGAGAGGTCTAGTGTTGTTTAGGGGTAAGCTACTGATGATCATCTTGCTGGTGGCCATTCAGACAAGTCATGAGAGGTAACAGAGGGCAAACCAAGAGGGACCTGCATTCATTCTTTGTGTATGTCTATTTTTCCAGGTTTGGGAGGTGCATAATGTTGCTGGAACATTGGCTTGCCCGATCCACAGAATTAGGTCTTTCGCCTGGTTTGATGCATTCTTTAGCAGAGCAGGTGCCAAGCCCCAGGTTGTTTCTCACTGTTTTATTTATTGTAGGAGCTCAACGGCATCATGCTTGAAGACTATTTGCCGCAGATGATGGTAGAAGTGGTGTCACCCTTCCTCCTCAAGGACCGAACGTGCCCTCGCATCAGTGGCAGACCTATTTTGGCTGTAGATTTTGCATTCAGACATTCACATGTACAAACACAATCACCCAGAAACTGCTAGAAAATTCGCATCACAAGAAATGAGTCATTGTACTGAGGTGAAAGAGTGTTGTGCTTTCTGCCCGCCACCCCACCCCGATGCCTGCTTGCCATCCCGATGCGCGGACGCCAGGATGAGGCGGACGCCATCTTGGTGGACTTGTGGTTCGGAGCTTTTGAGGCGACAGAGCTGGCCATCCCGAAACGATCCAGCTGGCCGTTTGAACATGGCTTGTTTCAAACAACCGGGCATTCCTGGGGGAGGTCCTTGTCCTAAGTAGGAACATGGAAGCGCAAGACATTAGCTAATTAGCTGCGAATTGAGTGCCATCTATAGCTAGGCCCTACCGCCTCATGATCCTCTCTGCCTCTACCAGGTGCCCCTGGATGAAGTCACCAGCTTCACCTGGGACGAGGTCCATCCACCTTTGCCGCCTCTGCCGCTGGAGCCGTTTCTGCCGGTTTGGCTCTGGGGGCTCATCACTTCAGCCTCCTCAGCGGTCGTGATGTTGATCCCCCTGCTGCTCGGTCGGGTGAGCGTCATGACTGGCATGACTTGTCGCTAAGGGTTGTGTTCAACAGCTCAAGTTAGACAGAAACCAGAAGCATTCTGAATGCGATGGTCAAATTGGAGATGGAGAGCTCCTCACCAAGCAGATCTGAACCGGTGGCAAAGTCATCCAAAGTCTTGGTTTTCCACATGATGAACCAACCAAACAGCTTTAGGATCCTTTCGGTGGCCACTTGGGTGCCACTCACCTCAGCCCAGTGCCCAGGTACTGCTGCTACTTCCGTCGTTTGTCCAGCACCCGGCGTAAGTACCGCCCAACCGCAGGGGTTGACCCCTCCTTCATGGAGAAGGTGGTGGCACAGTCCGATCCGCGCGTGGTGCGCCGCTTCGTGGCGCGGGAGGCCGGCGCGCAGCTGCTGAGGGACTCCGACTGACGGAGAGGAGGCAGGCGATGGAGACCGTGTGGAGCTGCAGCAGTCCAGACCGATCAGATGTCTTGTGAGACGGATGCATCACCCAGCTGGATCATGTCTGAGGATGTTGAACCTGACGTGGACTGGAAATCCTGGTCTACACCCTCAAGGCTCGCCTCGTTCCATCCAGTGACCAAGTGCAATCTTCTCCCCCTCGGCGCCCCATCGGGCGGCTGACCCGGGCCGCTGACCTCGTCGCCCGGCAGCACGCCCGGCAGCACGCACGGCAGCACGTCTCGGTCCGTGGTCGGCTCAGTTGAGCGACGTGTGACGTGGTCCTCCGCTGCGCTGGAGGAGCAAAAAGGCATGCGTTTTACCAGGTGTGACGGTGAGTCATGCATTTTATGTTTGTCAGGGGAAGTTGCAGGTGTGTTTCGTAAACTCTTATAATTATATAGGGACTATATATAGTTATAATCATGTTCTATTCTATACTATATATCCTTCAAAGTTTGATCCTGCACGACACAGTTGGTAGGGATTCAGTTCAGTATACTTTCTTCGACGAACATGCAACCATAAACCAAAGCTGAAGCTGGCATTGCCCAGGAATTCTGACCTGTCGTTGCCCCAACTGAGACTCGGTCGCACAATCAGTACGGGAAGACTTAACAAAGAAAGAATATGAAAGAACGGTCTTCAATCTTTGGTATGAAATCCTCACGAGAACATACCAGAACCATGCGCGTTCTGTTGTGGTCCTTTGGCTTTTGTTGCGCGCTTGAGGGTCTCACGGGTGGCTGTTTTCGCGAATGTCGTGCCCAGGAAGGTGAAGGCTGACTCCTTCATTTCAGATTACACCTGCCTGGAGACCCAGCACGTTGTGTACACAGAGCTTTCTCACGTTGTGTCACAAGCAGAGCCCTCATCAGATGTTCGAAGTTTTCTCATGACGAACAAGCAGTGCCATGTTCTTCTGCTTTAGTGGGGGCAAACCGGTTCCCCTCAATTTACACGGTATGAAGTTGCATGAATTTGCTTTTCTCCCTCACGCTCAAGCGACTGACCAGTTTCACCCACAAGATCACATGCCAAAGCAGCGAGAGGAGCGCACAGGATGTGGCCATTTACTAACTACTCCACTAAGCTATACACACTGGTTTCTCTTTTGTGTTCTTCTTGAGCGGAGAGATGGATTTGAGGCAAATTCAGATGATCCAACTCCCATCCTGACCATCCATGACCATCACTCAAGTCTGATCCGGGAGTGCCAGGCGCTGCTGAGGGCTACTTCATTTGATCTTGGATCCGAGGGCCCAAACTCGCAGATTCGCAGGGATCCGGGCGTTTCGGCCGTTTCGGTTTCCTTTTTTGTGCGACGCTATGGGCCGCTTCTAGCACCATCTAGACCGTTGCTGCGGTCATGGGACATGAGTCAGAGTGGTGGAGCCTGATGGAGCAATCTGTTCTTAAAGGTGATTAAGTGAGTGTACTTCTTCTCGAAGCTGACCACCATGGACACCAGCAGCAACTGGCCAAACCAGCGACCAGCTTGCATCCTTGGCCATGTCATGTGAAAGAAGCGCTGAATGATGAGGAAACTCTGAATTAATGTAATTTGATGTAATTTGCAATGATGCATGTTTTTTTAACCTGAAGAAGGGAGGCAACCTTGAAATGAATGCTGAATATAGATTCAATGCGGGTGGTGGGTGTGTTGTGTGTTTGCGGGGAGAGGTTAATAGTGTAGTTGTGAAATCTCTTTTTGATCCTTCCGGTCACGCATAAAGAATTCTGTCTACATGTGGTGATGGTTGCTCCATGTTGCTCCTTTTGAAGCCTTTGCATGTTGTTTTTCCCTGATGAACCTATTAGAACCCCAATCGAACAGCTGCACGGATAAGAATGAGTGAACAAGGTC